CCTTCAGAGTCAAGAACCAATCAAATTTTGTGAAGACAAGCGACCGGAGAGCGCGATTCGCAACGCTGCCATCGCTATCGCGTCCCGTGTGTCGGGTTTCACCCTGGCTGCGATGACAGCCGTTAATCGCTGTAGTTTGTCGCCTCCCGTGTGTCGAGCCCTTTATTCGTGGATTTTTTCTTCAGCCACCAGGGGGCTCTTTGGCCRGAGGTGGGGTTTCTTAAATAATACTGGAATCATTATGAGAATTTGAGGTATATACAGTATATACAGTATATTAGGATCCAATAGATGGCAGTAGTGCAACAATAATGAATGCAAGCTGCCATTGAAATCTAAAGAAGAAGAAGAATGCGCCAATTTTCCTTTAGCTAGTAGCAGACATGAAATATTTCTCTTCAAATTCAAACGATGAAAGATGAATGAGACGTTTCTGTTTTATTTGATCTGAAAGTGTTAACAGTTCCCGTTGAAAAACTACCAAAATCAGTTCAGTTATATGTAAACTTGCCAACGTTTTCTTTGTCAAATAATAAATGTAATGTTCAATTCACTTGTTTGACTAAAGTTTTGGGTGTACAGTTTTTTTTTTTTTAATTTTTGGGCGTGCGGCTTATAGTCTGGAAAATATGGTATGGATGGATGGATGAATGGGCCTTTTCTTTCAAAATAATCTCAAATCTTCCCACTGAGCTGCACTAGAAATAGTTTTGGATCGAAGCAAGTGTCCTGTTGTCTCGTCAGAAATTCTTCACAGGAAGTGGAAGCGGCAGCGACGGCACACAACCAACACTAGATGAGCGAGGCGCTGTTCACAAAATGACAGACGCAGACACGGAGTCGGAGGAGGGAAGCTGTGAAGGCCGTGATGGGCGAAACGACAGAATCACCTGACAGCTCCAGACTTTCACTCCACTTTGCCAAACACCAAAGCTTTACACCTCAACAGTGTTTGCCCCTCAAACGCTTTCCTCTGCGAGCTGTCAGCTCCAAGACTGTCCCTCTTCACACRCGGGAAGCACCCAGAGCCCGACAAGCCGGCACAAAGCCGAGCGGACGCACAAACACACATCCAGACTGTAAAATCCCGCTCACACGGCACGCTGTCAGATCTGCAGCCAGCAGCGCAGGGACACATTCAGAAACCCACGCAGACCTCCTCAGAGGGCCAAGTGAGGTGGAAGAAGAATCTGATCAACTGTCCACCTACAGAYATCAAAACACAACTAACACACACACAGATTGAGTTGTGTGAGTTTACCTGTGCAGAGGCTTGTGTCTGATGGGAGAATGAGGAGTCAATGACAGCTCTCTGTGTTACGTAAACTATAAGTGGGGTAAAGTCAGGACTGGCTTTAGCTTTTTCTACATCAAACGTGTCTCAGAGGGAAAAAAGAATAATTTCTCTCTTTTTCTGTAACTGTTTAAGTTTCAGCAGAARTGTTATCTAGCCACTGGCAGTTCAGACTAAATATTAGAGCTGTGTCAGTTTAATTCTCTTTCCTGTAAAAAAGGTTATGATGATGCTTTTAGATTTATTTATGGAAAAGTACAGCGGGTAAAATAAGTATTGAGCACGTTACCATTTTTCTCAGTAAATATATTACTAGAGGTGCTAATGACATGAAATTTTCACCAGATGTTGGTAACAACCCAAGTGATCCA